TGAGGTAATGTATGTTGATTTATCAGAAGGCTCTGCATTTTCCTTTACAGTTTTGTTATTGTCATTTTCAATCAATCAAACAAACAATCAAAATAGAGCTGGAAGGGACTTCAAGGCCTTTTCATCCATCCTCCAGACAAACGACTGTCCAGTCTCTTCTTAAAAACCTCCAGTGACAAAGCATCCAAAACTTCTGAAGGCAAGCTGTTCCACCGGTTAATAGCTCTCACGGTGAGGAAGTTTCTCCTTACTTCCAGATTGCTTCTCTCCTTGCTTAGTTTCCATCCATTGTTTCTTGTCCTGTCCTCTGGCGCTTTGAAAAATAAGTTGACCCCTCTTCTCTTTGTGGTAACCTCTCAAATACTGGAATAATGCTATAATGTGGGCCCTGGTTCTTCTTTTCTCTAGACTAGCCAAACCCAAATCCTGCAACAGTTTTTCATATATTTTTGTCTCCAAGTCTTTAATCATCATAGTTGCTCTTCTTCGCACTTTTTCCAAAGTCTCAACAACTTTTTTGTAATGTGGGCACCAAACCTGGATTCAGTGTGGAAATATATGAAAAACCTAAAATAGGATTGTTCAGTTAAAAAGCAGATACCCCTTCTCAATCATCACTACCCCAGATGCGTTCTTCAAGTGCTTAGAAATATTAACATCCTCTCCATCCCCATTCCTTTACAGAGAGAGAGAGGGGGAGAGGGAGGGAGGGAGGGAGGGAGAGAGAGAGAGAGAGAGAGAGAGAGAGAGAGTTTGTTAAGGTTGTTTGTGAGCATGCCAGAAAGCTTTTTGATTAATTATATGTCTAAACTATAAACTGACCTAAAATAATTCCTCTAGCATAATGCACCTTCTCATCATCAATAGTAATGATAGCAGCCCAGTGCTGAGTAACTATTGAAGAGACTTCATAAATATGTATACTAAGGCAGCTTTCTCACTCTATAGGGTGTTTGTCTCCATAGCAACAAATGGCACTGTTTCTAATCTTCCATTTAAGCCCCGTATTGAAAATGACTTTTTTTGGTAATTAAAAATAGGCACACACATGCACACACAGACAGGGAGACACAAACCCTGTTAGGAATGCCTGTTTGTTCAAATATGTACAATCATCACCCCCCTGTGGCCAAAGTGAATAATTCCACCAGTTTCTAGAACTTGAGTGAGAGCTGGTTAGACTTTTACTCATACATTTCTGCTCAGATAATCATACAATCAACATGCATGTTATTCAGTTGTTACAGGAAAGGTGAATCACTGTTTCCTATAATAGGACTCACAGTTACCTAGCAGTGAGATCACAATTTCTTTTAATACAAGAACTTTGAGGCCACATCAGAAAACTTTCTTTTGAAACTGCCCTGCAGATAATGGCTACAAAAGAGTACATTTTGGGGGGTATGTTTTTGAAAACAAAAATGAAAACTTCTAGACAAGACTTTCACAATTGTTTATCCTAGAGGAACCCTTGAAGTAATTTTCAGGAACCATCTACATAAAAACTGCAACTATAAATAAAAAATATACCATCCATTTCTAACCTACTGTGTGGTATGTGGGAATGGCTTTGAAAGATAGGAAGAAGAGCCCCAGACTGGACAACCAGCATGTCAGAGATATCTCAGGTCATGGAAGGAGGAAAGGCATGGGAAGCATTTCAGAAGAGACTCCCTAGTTTTCTGGAAAATAAAAGTAAAGGAGAAAAATGCTTCTTGGAAGGTTGTGTTAATGTAAGATTACCATAAAGATGGGACTTCAGGTAGAACCAATCTGTTGAAACTTCACCCTCAGTCTCTTCCCCTGTATTGGCCAGTATGACAGGGGTGGCAGGAACTACTTGTCCCAACAACATCTGGTCCTTCAACCTCACCAGGAAATCAGTAACATTACAGACCGAGAATATTCCTTGAGCCTGCCACAAAGCCTTCATGGAGATCACCTCTGGGATTACCTCTATCCTGATATTTTCTCTTCTGGGGCCAGGTTCAATGACGGAGTGAGGCCCTGGCTGCTCTCAGTCCGATCAATCCACAAGCACACCACCTCACCTGGCTATAACACCCTCCTAATTCATTCCAAGTTCCACAACTGTCTCACACCTTCTACAGCCCCCCCCCCAAGAGTTTAAAATAGATGTTAAACAGAAAGATTGAGAGCTACTCTACCCTAAGATATCCCACAAGTGAAAAGTCGTAAGCTCAATCTGTCCCCTTCCACCACCGCCATATCGAATTTATCAAATTCAGCAAGTGATGTATACAACTGTATACACCATACAGTTAACTACCCTTTACTATTTTTAAATCATTTGGATGAAAAAGAATGAAATAATGGATTGGGACAGTAGATTCCAACTGAACGTGAGGAAATATTTCCAGTTTGACACTAAAACAATTACCCAGAAATTTAAAAAGGCAAACAGATCTTAAAGGTCATATGTCTCCATTTCTATCTTGGGCCTCGTGCTAACACAGGAACTGAAAGTATAGATTAGTGCCTACACTAACTATCTAAAGCTACCTTTCTCAGTCCTAATGATTAAATCCTTCTTTTTATATGACGGCTATAAGAATAACAAGTTTGGTTCTTAACAGAATCCCCATGACTTGTTAAGTCAGGATTGAAAATGTCACTTTTGCTTATGATAAATGTCAGTGAAAATTTATGGAACATTGCAAGAAATTTAAAAGCTTCCTTATGAAAACAAAAAAGAACAACACAAAGCATACAAATGTCAGAAGAAACACTTAGCAGGGTGGGAAGGAGATTTTATTTTATTATTATTCAAAAACAACACATGCATAGGTTGATGTATTTCTAACTTCTGTGCATAAATAGTCTTGTGGGAAAGAAAATCAATTCTACATCTCAAATTTAGCTACACTATGGAAGCAATAGAGATTTGAAATTTCTACTGTATGTAAAAATGTGAAATATTTAAGTTTTAGTTTTATTTAATATTTATTTAAATAGCCAGCTCTGTTACCATGGTAATCCCCAAAGGCATACAAGATTGAAACCAAAAAAACCTAATATCAGTCCAAAAATCATTTAAAAAAATACATATATTGTATCACACATTTGGGATCTAAAGACCCATACCATTTCAACCACTATGATCATTACAAAGTGCTCATCTGATGAGTTCATGGACTCTTGGCCCAATTGCCTGTGGGAACATTCAGATCTTTAAACCATATGGAAGATCCACCAAGTCAAGGCCATCTCTGGGAGAATGCTGGATCTCTGGGAGAATGCTGTTCCTCAAGGCAGCATAGCAACAGAGAAGGTCCAAGGTCTCCCAAGATTACTTTATCTGATAGGACAGAGACCATGACATATCTGCCAGTTCTGACAGCAGAGATAAGTAGGCCTGCAACTAGCCTTGCACCAAATGTCTCTATGAGCAATAACCAATGCCTCGATTGCATCTAGAAGGCCACTAGGATCCAGTGCATCTCACAGGGAAGAAGTATTACGTGGATGCATTGTGAAATTCTCAGAACTGCTTGTGCTTTTGAATTCTGGACTAGCTGGAGCTCCAAAAGCTCAAGGGCATATTCCATATAAAACACATTACAGGAATCAAATTAGGAGATCTAGAAATTGGCACACAAGTTGAACTTGTGGAACAGGTTAGGGTTAGGGTTGCAAAGCATTTATGGTATAAGAAAACAAGGCACATCAAACTATATTAATCCACAGCATGGGTTTTTTCTGGCCTATCACACCACCTATCAATGCTTGTTAGCCATTGTTTGTGCTGGTGGTGGGGACAACCTTTTTCAGTCAGAGTCTGCTTATTCGTTACTTTCAGACTGAGGATCGCGAGAGGAAAGAGCAAGGCAATAAATAGAATGTCATCAAAGGAGCCACAGCGGATGTTTTCCACTCTTCATTTTTAGGAATTTGGGATTTTAAAGAAAATAGGTGACTTGAAATCCCAGAAGCTTAATGGAGTTGTTGTTAGATTGTTTTTATATCAAATGTTCTCACTGAAGAGCACCATTTTGCCTGTGAATTTCTGCAAGGTCTGAAAAGGTCTAGAAGCAGCAAAAATGGATTTAGCCTATTGTAAGAGTCTAGGTAACTGCATTATTCAATGAAATAGTTCTTTGCAGTCAAAGTAAACAAAATTGTGGCTTAATGTGCGGTCTCTCAAAATGATATCAGTCAGTGGTATTTCTATCTTATAAATTTAAATTACTTGAACCTCCTCTTACAGAAAGAACAATTGTAGTTCTATGAGTAAAGTCTAACAAGAATTAAAAGAATCCTCAGCATTTCTGTAACCTACAGCTTCAACAATTTTTAAAGATATTTATTGTGTTTAAGGCAGTATAAATCCAATCTGTTCTTCTAAAGTAGATAACAAAACTCCCAGATAAGAGTATCTGCCAGGTTATATTTCGAACTTCAGACAATTGTGAGTTTTGATACAATTCAATAAGCACAGTATTGACTGTCTGTTCTTGCAGAGTTGTGAAGGAAGTAATAGATAAGAATTTAATCCAGTCATTATCATCAACTTGGAAGCAGGAAGACGGATTTATTGCAGATTAAGAGTTTTAGAAACTTCCAAGAAGGTAATTTTGGCATGAAATTTTCATGACCACCTCATCCTATTCTTGTAATATATTCACCTTGTCCTTCTTTGTTCTGAAAAGTTTCTTTATAAAAAGTTCCAACACATTCAAAAAAAATCTTATAGAAATTATAAAAATATAATTTCAAAATGTATTTTAACCTAACAATTTTAAAAGTCTTTGCTAGTAGGATTTCCATTAAATATTTATTCTTTTTATTAAATGAAACTTCTTGCATAATTAGGAAGCATGGTTGTCGCATTTCAAATCAGTTTTTAATTAAGCACTTCTTAAAATATCAGTAGTTGAACAATAGCCTACACAAAATATTTAAGCCTTAAAGATTAAGCTTTATCTGGTACAATAAAAAAGATTTTCGAAACCTCAAATCATAGGAAATCAAGCAATAGATTATCAAAAAAGGGAACATTTATTTTAAAAAATGATGTCCAAGAGTAAGTAAAAAAATCAACAATTAAAAGCATGTATCATACAAACCCTCCACAGATTAATAAAGTGTCCATCTATATTTAGCATTACACATCAATGGTAGAAACAAAAACTTCTAAAGGAATAGTACATTATGATATGTTAACTAAAAGCACAGTTTTGAAGATGTCATATCTTTCAAAGTTTACTCTCAGCTGCATTCAACTTAAGTTCAACTATATATTCAGAGTGCAAGTACAAAAAAAATTAAGAACTCAGTCATAGGAGATTTGTATGCAGAGCTGGATGAATGTTCTGAGTAAATTGGCCTTCTGGACTAGCATAAAGAAAATAAAATTATGCACATTTTTTAAAATAGTGCTTCATATAGTTCATAAAGTTTGTTTACTGCACCAATCATAGATCAAAGCAATCTGTGTACTATACAACAAAATATAAAAATATTAAAAACATAAAACAACATAAAAAGCATAAATACATAAAATTCACCAGTTTCTATTAGCTTTAAATATGGTGAGTTGGTTCATTAAAAGGAAAAGCAGGTATCAGCCATGATTTTGAGCAAAAAGCAATGGTAATAGTAATTATATTGGAAGAAAAATTCTGTATTAAAAACCTTTTTTTCAAAATATAAATTCATAGACAAAAAATGAAAAGTATAACATGTAACAAAAGTAAAATGGAATTTACAGATTTCCATTACAACGTCATACAGTTCTCAGGCCTCTTCCATAGTTTCCACTCTTCAAATTAAAGATACTTTGCACCCAAATTGCTTAAGCTAAAATCCAACTAACCAGAAACTACGCTGGCTTATAAGATTCCATGGGTAATTAGAGTTGATCTTTTTTCACCAAAAGTCACTTACACCTCTCCTTTTTTTTTTTTTTTGCCAAACCAATGTTACAGTTTGGCAGAGGTCTCCAAACTTGGCAAGTTTTGGGACCCCTACTGTATGGTGTTTGCTACACTGAAAGCCATCTAGACCTTCAGATGGTGGAAAGTCTCTCAGGTAGAACAGTAATCACAACATGCAAAATCCATCAACTCAAACATTATTTTCTTGATAAGAGTCCTAATTTTTCTGAATTAGTTCACATTCTCAGAACTTCCCAGATATAATTCACATTTTCTTCATCTTCTTTTTGCTGCGTTGGTTGAAAACTGGTGAAGAGCCCATCAAACTATCAGGGGAATGAGAACCATAACTGCTTTCAGAACCATTTGGGCTCTGTGGCATCCCAGCTTCACTCATGCCTGACATTGGCTCTTCAAATACATCACCACCTAGGACTCCGTGGTGCCCATGAACATTGCCTTCTTCATTCTCTTGTGGTTCCATTTTTACTGGGGCCAAGTTCCAAAGAGGAGAAGTGTTCACCTCACCACCTGGCAAAGGGAGAGGGGGAAGGGACAGAGAAAGAGAGATGGAGGGAAGGTGGTTAGGAAAGGATTTTCTCATCAATCAGTAAAAAATGCAAAACTAAAAATATTCTGAAGAGAGTGTAAATCCATAGTATTGTTAACTCATCATGTACTAAGTTAAATATTAATATTACTGAAGAGTACATTACTTAGCAATGTACTAAGTTAAATATTAATATTACTGAAGATGAGAGGAAAAATAAGAAGACACTCCAGGACCCATTTAATGGTTCTAAAACACATGTACATTAGGTCATTTTAATATACCAAATAAATGAATCCAACCATAACAAGGGCCATCTAATGAAAACAAGTACCAACATATTAACATCAAACATTCATATCAAGCAATTAGTGATTTGCTCCCAAATGATCTAGTAATACTTGGCTGCACCATTTCCCTCAGAATAAATTTTTAAGGTATTGTAGAAAATTCAGTGTCAATTTTAGCAACCACATAACATCGCATGTGCCCTTCTCTCGTACAAATGGAGCTTCACACACAAGTGGAGGGTGCTTGCGCTTGCACACAAAGCTCTACTCACAAGAGCAGCAGGCACACGAAGCTCCCCTCATGCGAGAGAAGAGTAGTTGTGCTCACAAAGTTCCACTTGTGCGAGCAGACGGTGCTTGCACACCAACCTCCATTCACACAAATGGAGCTTTACACACAAGCGCAAACACTCTCTGTTCGTACAAGTGCACACAAGCGCAAGTGACCTCAGCTTGCATGAGTTGGAGCTTCACACACATGCACTTGCCCATATCTCCCATGGCCTGGGTTCGAATAGTCCACGGCCCAGTAATGGGTCATGGCTTGGGGGTTGGGGACCCCTGGTTAGACATCCATTAAAATTTCCAATGCATCTCAAAGTAAACAAAAGATGACATCATTTCCACATCATACATAACATCTTTCCACGTATTTGCATGCATACTTGAATGCATATTTGAATGCATATGTCAGCGTAGTTGCTTAGACCGAAAATACAAATACTTGTGATCATTTTTCATACTTACAACCCTTGCAGCTTCCCCATGGTCACATGATCAAAATTTGGGCAGTTGGTAACAGGCATGTATTTATGATAGTTGAGTGCCCTGGATCCTGTGATCACCTTTTACGACCTTCTGATAAACAAAGTCAGTTGGAAAGCTAGATTCACCTAACAACTGTGTTACTAACTTAACAACTGCAGTGATTCCCTTAACAGTTATGGCAAGAAAGGTCTTAAAATAGAATGAAACTCATTTAAAAACTGTCTTCTTGGGAACAGAAATTTGGGGCTCAATTGTGATTTTAAGTTGAGGACTATCTGTAAATCATATTATAGCTTAGTTTCTGTGTTAAGGCAGCCTAAGCAGTTATTTTAAAGTGTGTTGTTTATAAGTACAAGAAACGGACAGATGGTAAGTATTCTGAGCCAGCAAGCATTAAAAACCAAATCACAACTCCTTGGGGCTTAAAAAATTATAAAGACATAGCATTTGTTAACATCCAATTTCCAAGCTAACTTTATCTAACACTGGAAATTTAATTCAGCTAGAAGCAAATTTAACATTTTAAGGGCCAGTTCACAAAAGATATCATTAGCAATTTCCTTCACTCGAGCTGTAGGGTTGTTTTTCCTAGCTGTTTTAATTAGAAAAGTGATTATTGACTTTGTCCTCTAACCTTGCCTTTACCTTCCAAAAGTAAATAACATGTCAAGGCTTAATAGACAAGCCAGTGTGACAAATGATAAAACTGCTACATTGATATCCCAGTATCTCCTTTCTACCAGCACCACAATATAGTCACAACCTTCAGTTAGAACCGGGGAAGCCAGAGCTATTGAAGTCCCAAGATGTATATATATATTTCAAAATGCATCTAGGCTTCATATTGGACCCATGAACTCTCTTAAAAGATAAAATTAAAGAGTGCCTGAACCCAAGACCTTTGAAGTCTTGTCATGCATGTACATGCAGAGTGCAAAAATAAGCAGGAATAGGATGATCTGGCTACATGGCCAAGTAAAGATGGTAATACAACTCATACCTTATAACAAGTGATGTTACAGTGGCAGCCATCTTGTGCAAGTGCCCCAAAGTGTTTATTGTTTTCATCTTTTTTACTATAAATTAGGAGCATAGAGTACTTATAATTAGTTATGATTGATGCAAGGAATAAGCCTGAGAAAAATAAAAATAAGATGTACCAGAAGTTTGTGGAGAGGCCTCAGTTTCCAAGTTGGATGAAAAGCGTTCACTCTGAGCTCCAAGGACTCCAACAGGCAATGACTGGTCTCCAGATGCAAGATCCCCCTCCAGCTCCTCACTCATAGGAAATGTGATGTCACTAACAGGTTCTTCCTTGATTTTTACAGGTTTCAAATCTTCTGCTGCCTTCTCAGGGTTTACAAGTTTTTCATACTCCTCGGAGAGTTGCTTGCTCACCTGTTGATAAGTCATGGAATAAAAAAGAACAGCCTGGTTGTAATCAATTGTTAGATGCATGAAGGTACAACACAGCTACTGCTTCTGTGACAAATTAACCCTCATGAAGATGTCATTTTCATGACTAAGCCTCCAGCATTTTTGTCTGATTTGCTTGGATCTTATAAACTAGAGAAGCAAAGGCTTTGTTCACCCAGCACACTAAGCCATAATGTTGCTTGTTTCTATGGGGCTATATGTATTCACGGGAACTTGGCCCTTGTGATTTATATACCATGGTTCATGATCAGCCAATTCCAGTTTATCAATTCTTGGTTAAGGAAACCATGTTTAGCACAACATACAAACCAGATTATTTGTGTCTTGATGCAATTAATCCCTGGCTCCTGGATTGCACAAATGCACAGTTCTGATAGTATAGTTTAGTTTTAGTTAATAAACTAAAACTATATTGTCATTGCACCTCGTACAACGAAATCAAACGTTATCTTCAGTGCACATCATGACCATGAAAATAAAAACAAACACACATCCTTCACACTCCACACATTGAATTGAAACCCCCCCGACAACGCACCATCACTGCACTATACAGTAGAATTCAACAGAGCTACTGCCTGGGATAGAAGCTGTTTTTCAGCCTATTTGTCATTTTTATATTATTCTGTACCATCTGCTAGATGTTAATAGTTCAAAAAAAGGGTGCCCAGTATGAGATGGATCTTTGAGAATGTTTTGATCTTTCTTAAGGTAGCAGGAGCTATAACGCTCTTCCAAAGAGGGGAGAGGGCATCCAATGATCTTCTGGGCAATGATGTTAACCCTCTGGAGTGCCGTCCTATTTGCCACTGTGCAATTGGCAAACCATACAAGGGTGCTGTAAGTTAAGATACTCTCTATGGTGCAGCGGTAGACGGTCACCAGCAGATTTTCATTCAGTTGTTGTTTTCTGAGAAGCCTCAGGTAGTATAATCTCTGCTAGGCCCTTTTGACTAGTGCTGCAATGTGGGCAACCCCAGGTCAGGTCCTCTTTTATGATAACACCCAGAAACTTAAAACTGGCCACTTGCTCCACTCGGTCTCCATTGATAGGCAAGGGCTGAATGTCTGATCTGTTCCTTCTATAGTCCACTATAAGCTCCTTGGTCTTATTGGTGTTGAGGACCAAGTTATTGTCTCCACACCATGAAAGCAACCGGTCCACCTCATCTCTGTAAGCAGACTCACCCCACCCCACCCCGGTAAAGACTCCAGCCAACTGATCAGCACAGTCTTTAAGCACTCGGCCAGAGATACCATCAGGAGCGGCAGCCTTTCTAGGGTCCACAGCCCTCAGAATGCTCCTCATCGCCTGTTCCTCCACAATGAGGTGGGGGCTACAATTGGCTGGTCATTGTATTTTAGCTGTCTCTGATGTCGCTACTTCAAAGTGAGCAAAGAAATGATTCAGTTCCTCTGCCAATGAAGCATCCCCCCAGCAGGGATGACATTGGTCGGTTGATGATTGGTAATTTGTTGAATCCCTTGCCACACCTGCCTCATGTTATTGCTATAAAAATTATCTGCAATCTTCCTCTTAGAATCAGTCTTGGCCTTCCGAATAGGTATGATACATATTTCACCTTTAACTGAATTCATTGTCAGAACAAACTACATAGATGGATAGTTATTTTTCAAATGTAGTTTTTCTAAAAAGTAACTGAAAACAGTCCCGATAGCTAACCTCATGAAAAATATTTTTATTTCACTGAATTATGCACATATAATTTACTTTTTAAAAGTCTTCTGATTCCAAAAAAGACAACAAAAGTCCCAAAAATTCAGCCTTGCTTTTTCATTGATGTCACAATGCCATTGTCATACAATTGCCAGCCTTTGAAGGCCAAACAATTCAATTTTAAAAGTGCATATCCTGGCACTGAAAAGGATGCCTAACTTGGCTGATGATTCTGTTTCTTTTGTAACATCTAAATGTGTTACAATTCCATTATTGGAATCATATTTGAGATTCAAGTCAGAACATTTTTGATTTGATCTGATGTTACAGCATGGGGAGTGGTGTCCAGAATGATCCTTTTTTTCTTCTCAACTCCAAACATGTGTAAATATGCTAAGATCCCAAAACAGAAATCACAAGTCTTGTGACGGAAAGTCACCAGGCATCTAAATTTCACCTGTATAATGGAGATTTTTGCAGAGAGGAGCAGATAGTGCAGGAAAGAATACAGATGCAGTAGGTCACAATCAATCATATGATTATAAACTGCTTTTAAGGTGCAGACTGAACTTATATATTAAAACATTCATATAGTTTCCCGTCTTATACGAAACTCTGGTCAACTCACTTCTTTCATGCATTGACTTGATTTAGCAATCTAGAAAATAACTGCTAAATAATAGGAAATTCTGAAAACAGAAATTTTACCACCTCTAACAAAATCCCAATTTGAAGTGAGTAGTGGAGAAAACCCCCATAAATGCACCAAATTCTTACGCTGTCCTGAGAAATGCATCGTTTTAAGATTTCAATAAGTTGTCTTGGGTAATAGCAGAGGATTTCAATGTCTATATCAGGGCTGTTTTGGGAGAACCAGTCCTCAACTTCATGCTAGCCCACTACATTTTAGTTAGAAAATATGGGGTTCTCCAAATTTAACAGACCTGTTTACATTCAATGTCACTCTCTCCAGAACCCACAATGCCCTTGGGGCAGTCACTCTTGCTGAGTCCTGGGGAAGAGGCAAAAGTAAAATACTTCTGAGAAACCTTGCCAAGAAAACTGTTAAAAACTTACTTGAAGACACAAAAACAACTGTTCTGGAAAGCATTGTTATTACTTCGTGTTATAGCTGAATCATTCCCTCATCAAGTCAAAATTGGAAGTGCATAACTTAATCTTCAGAAATAGAAAACTTTTAGTGTCTGATCAGAAGTGGCACAATGAGTAAATGGCTCTACACCTTCTCCAATACTGTTTCCAGACAGTAGCACAGGGGATATATGCTTAGCCTCATGTCATTTAACTGCAGAACAACACAGAAATCCGTATCTCAGGTTCATCAATATCTACATGAAGCCACTTGAGGAAGATGAACTGTGGGAGCAAGGGGACAGTAGTATACAAACTCTCTTTTTCCATTCCATATATAGTGGATGAGGCAGTTTAGATATGTAGGGGTATACTATAAAAGAGCCAAATAAAATTCATGTGAACAAGATGAGGTGTTATTGTTGGGATATTCAAAGAAGTTTACTCTGATAACTTACCTGTAGCATATAGCTATGATAGTCTTTAATTCGATGTTGCCAAAACCTCTGCAGAGAGAGCACACTGCCAATGCCCACTTCATGGAAGACCTGTTCCATAACATCTGGGAAAGGGGTCTGTCCAAGCCGAGCTTCTCTATCCACAGCACAACGCAGAAGTTTGGCGAACTTCAAGCAGTATTCATGAGCGATATCTGTCAGAGTCTCCAGAACACTTTCATGGGCACATTCAAAGCCAGCATGAGCTAAAATGGTAGCTATAGATTGATAGAGAAGCTGGCGGCAAGAAGTCCAACTCAACTCTATTACTGGCTCTCCTTTGCCTCTAAAATAGATAATGTACAATAACAATGAAAATGAAAGACAATAGTCATGATGATGTATTCAGAACAACTATTTGAAGCATGTATAAACATCCTAGTTAACTTGGAATATCTAGTCGTCCTTCAGCTGAGCTGAAGAAGCTTCTTGGATGAGAAGCGAAATGTCTTCAAAGAAAAACCAGAAAGTCCAGTTGCCTCTTGAAAAAAGCACCTTTGGACAACCATGACCTGGATGACTGAGAATCTCCATGGACATTTGGAATACCTAGCTTTAAACACAAAAAATATGCCTCCATAGTAGCATGTTTGGTTTGATTTCATAATTAATTTTTCTGAAATAAAAATATGCAATAAAGAGAATGCTATTGCAAAAAAAATCAGTTAACATTGTTTACTTTAAAATATCATATGTAGCTTTTTAGATTTTAGCTCAAAGCAACATATTTACATTAAAAAAAATTATCTGAAGGATTATTGCCTAAAATTACTGTTTATACAATAATCATTATAACTGAACAATAATTGGCCTTTTTTATTTTTACAAACAAGTTTTCTTATTCAATGTGTCAAAACTATTAGATTAAGATTCCCTAAAACAAGACATTCATGAGGTAACTACAAAATCTTATATAGAATCTCCATTCTACTAAAGACTAAGATCTTGTAGTTTTTACAAATCATATTCTGGAAAAAAATCAGCTTCTGTTTAACCTTAACTATAGATCAAGCAAACAGTAAGAAAAACTTCAGTTCTGTGAAGTATATTTTATATGTATAATTTTTTTTACAATCTGATAACATACAGACAACTGACAAATCTAATTTTCTTGTTCAGATCCCCAAAACTTGATTAAGAAAACTACAATATGGAATTATAATAGTAAAATATAAAGTTGCAACATAAATCCATCAAGCTCAATCTGCCTTCCCTAACTTAATATCTCCCACAGGTATTGGATAGAGTGTCCTTCACCCTTGGTTAGTATCCTCCAACACATCTGGAAGGCATCAGATTCATGCAAATTGAGGAATATCTCTTGAGATTTAAATGGGATTATTATTATTTTTGCAATCATACGAAAACTTTGCTTAATGCCTTTTCTGTGTAAAACTTTGCTTAATGCCTTTTCATGTTCTGTCAAGTTGGTATTCATCATGCTGCAGACACCTCTGAATAGAAGAATATTAGCATCTCCCTATTCTTTTCTGGCTGAGAGAGAGATTATATACTTCCAAAACAACCACTCATCTGATAAGCTAAAAAACCAAACATGACTTAGTATTAGTGACATTTCAGGCATTACAAAATGGATCTTTACTTTTCATCACTATCCATTAAACATTCTCAGAAGAAATGATATGAAACTCTATCACAATGCAACGTTACGTAGCCGATTCCAATTCTCCATTTAATCAGTGCATGAAGATGAAGGAATTTGGGCTGATTTGACAGGTGCAGAAAAAGCTGAAGTCCATTCAAATAAAACCATAGGCTGAACCTATTGGCCTCTTCAAAGATAAATGATAGCTTGAAAACAGATCCAGGAAAGCAAAGATGGCTTTCTTACAATTGCTTCTATTTTATAAAACATTACACCTGCTGGGTTGTATTTTCGAGTCACTGAAGTATAACAAAAATCCATTCCCAGATACAAAATTCCTTCCAGATAAAACAAAGAACGAGTAAATTATAAACAAGATTGCCTAGCATCCAGTATTCAAAAATAGAAAAGCTTATTCTCTACCTTTTCTGATTTTGATCTGGCACTACCAATTCCTTTCTTAATTACCTTTTCCTTTCCCTTTGAAACAGAAATTTGCAGCAGGTGCCACCCTTAAATATTGCCATCAGTAACAGCCAGGCATTTTTCACTAGTTCCAATACTGTATTCTGAGACTCTAGCAATCTCAGAATACATACACAATTTGCTGTGCTGGTTCAAAAAAATAAGAGGCAGTTGCTCATTGGCAGATTGCTACTGAATATGGGACAGAAGAACACAACATGTGACTAATCCATTACAGCCTAAGACCCCAGGACATTAAACAAAAATGGGATTCTGGGCAGAAAAGGTGAGGAGTCCCAAACCTGCCATGTTTAGTTCATGATATTCCATCTTATAAAGGCTAGTTATTCATTTCCAAAGATTAAAGTTAATCGTATAAAAAGTAAAAATGCCTTTTGAGTGATTACAAAAATGGACTATATCCTGATAGCAAAAGCCCCCGCACCTATAATGAACAAATGGTCAATTCTGTATTTTTCCAGATTTACTTACGGGACCAGAATCCAGCAAGGGATCATTGCACAAATTAAGATAATGGAAATGGAAGAGGAAATGGTATTGAGCATCGTGGAATGTAAACTTCAGATTAGTTCAACCTAAGCCAATGGTCACTATAACAAAGCTCTCACAACGTACCTGTAAAAGTCACTTTCTGGATCACTGTGCCTCAACTGGAATGGCATCTTGGGTGTTTTACTATCCAAAGTAAGCAAGTCATCAGGGAGAGGTGGGGACCCAGGACAAGTTGGCAAAGGCTCACTTCCTTCCATCTTGATACCCTCCAGGTGCTGTTGGTTCTGAGTCTGAGCTGTGGCAATGAGGCTACGCAACCTCCTGTTATGTTGGATTAGCTGGACCGTATGAATGGTGAGGCTACAGGGCTCTGAAGGACTATCAAGTGTGGTTGTGGGCTTAGACTTATTAGCTGACGGTTGATGCAACGGAGGATCCTGGACCTCTACAGTACGGAACTCCCGCTGAAGCAAGTCAAAAGAGCTGCGGTTGGTCTGACTGGAAGAAACAGGGATCTCACCCCAGTAGCGGAGCATCTTTTTTACTGGTTGACCAAATGGAATATATTCAGGTAATATTTCAGATAACAAAGTAATTGTCCTATGAAGAAGACTGACTCTGTGGTATCCTTGTGAAAAGGTGGGGTTTTTTTTGATTTGGCAAATTGTGGGGAGCAGGGAGTCTAAAAATGTACTATTGAGTTCTCATTGCAGCTGAAGAGTTCATTAAGTAATACAGTCAATTTAAATTAACTCAGCGACATCTTCTTTAAGAAGTAACTTTCTTAGTGTCCCTAGAGGGAAAAAGAAAAGAAATTGGCAAAACAAGTTATGGTTTCTGTCTCACAAAAGACCCATGAGTTTATATCAAACCTAGAGACAAAATAAAGTAACTGTTGCCTTTTATATTTTTCAAGGAACTATTGCCGCAGGGGTTTTTATCTGAGTAATTTTTGGTACAAAAGATAAAGAAACATCTCACTACTATATTTAGCAAGAGAAGAGAGGAAAATTTTGCTGATGTTGTTGTTGATGTTGTTGTTAAAGAAAATTTCAAGATGATCCAGTTCTAATCCTAATACAACAAAGTCGAAAAAAATATAAACACAGAAAAAAAGTTATATGTCATAACACATTTGTCCACTTTGTCAATCCTAAAATTGCCACATCAACTAAAACTAATCCTGGAGATTGCTCCCTATGTCCATCCTACAAATGCAGACATGTAGCACATATGCAAGTACATATATTCATGTCGGCTTGAAAGAAGCCATGCCCCAAAATTATACAATGTAATTGTATGAATTATATTAATTACTGATTAAAATTAATAGTCCATAAAATAAAGTATCTTCTTTATAAAATTAATTCATCCAGCATTGGATATTCCAACTATTTTTTCTCACAAAGAAAATATACTCTTATGCAAATACACGTGCAGGTAACACACATACAGGGAAACATGGAGACTGGGCAAAGTTAAAGGGCAAATGTATTGCAAGGAGAAAAACTAATTTACCAAAGAAGTAAAAAGAGAGAAGTTTTATTCAGATATTACAAAAGAGTGGCATTCACTAGGCAAAAAAAGCTTTCCAAGCAACAACTAATCTTCAAAGTTACCGCACTTTTTAAACAAACGTTCCAACAGAAATTTGTCCCTTTGGCATTCATACAATATCTTCTATTCTTAGAAAATGGAATAAGAGATGATTCCAAGATTGCATAATGTACCCATAAACATAATAGCAAGGGGTGGAAAGATCAGAGGAAAAGGCATTGTGAAATCTGAAATGGAACGAAGAACACGCTATGAGGAATAATTATCACATTTAGATGATAGGAAAATGATTTCCCCATGTCATTACTTTGAAGGAGGTGGATATCTTCTTACCTTCTCTAAGAAAATTAACAAAATTAAATATAAAGTTGTTTTTTTTAATCTCATTCTTCATAGTGCTCATTGGAAGTTAGCTGAAATATCTTGCATACATAATATGAAGGCAAGAAACAATGGTGAAAACTATGATTGGAAAAAATCAAATATGGCCTAAAAGAGATTGACAGAAAACCAGATAGCTATATACTATGACTAATTATAAAAGCAACAGCTTATAAGAATGTAAAGGAGCTACCAATAGACAATCTATACAAACTGATGTCTTAATCCCAAAGATTCACAAGTAAGTGAACTACTGAACCACGTTTCTAACGATTTTAGATCCTAAGACATAAGTTATTTATCATTTCATAACATTGTTAATGTTTAATTTAAAATGTGCTTTATTACTTTTATGCTAATTTTCATATCATCTTTATGAATTATATTGCAGTTTCCCCATTTAGTAGCATTCTTAAGTCTAAAATTGTATATCTTGTTTTTAAAGCATGAATTCTGACACTAATATATGATGTCTGCCCTTCTAGAAGTAAAAGAACTATCTTATTATGAATTTTAACTAATGTTAAATATGAAATATTCTATAAACACAGGAAAGATCATTCCTAAACAGCATACTTTGCATGTTCTTTATTAGCAGGACATGGAGGCAGAAAATATTTCTAAGAGAACAAAGTCCTATAGATTAGATTTGAGAATAAAGTTAGATCTCAACAGCAACCAAAGCAAATAAGCTCAGAAATAGCACCTATCATATGTTTAAAGAGTACATGAATCAGTCCCTGTTTTTTCCATATTTATTATGTAATTACCAATAGCTTGTAGTCTCTATTCACAGAGCTTCTTGCTGCAGAATCATCTTCAACTTTTGTAGGAAGGAATAACAGTAAAATAAATGAATCTTGTATAGTGAGCCTTACTTTCCCTCTTTTTATATAAATCATTTATTTTTTATTTATTTGTACCCTATCTTTATTATTTTTACAAAGAAGGTGGCAATCATATCCAACACACCTTCCTCCTCCTATTTTCCCCACAATAACAACCCTATGAGATGGGTTGGGCTGAGAGTGAATGATTGGCCCAATGTCATCCAGCTAGTTTTCATACCAAAGGTGGGACTGGAACTCATAAGCTTCTGATTTTGAGCCTAGTGCCTTAATTGCTAGATCAAACTGGTTGCATCTAGGATTTATAATTTATAATCCTAAAGAAGCTGGAGGAATCTTAAAAAGCCAAGCAGAACCCTTTGTTTGTCCTGCGATGCTATTCTTAATTGCACCCAACAGGATACAATTCTGAGGAATGAATTATAAGCTGCAGAATGAAGAAAATGGAACATCTCTAGTTTTCTAGCTTAGATTTATTCATGAAGTAAATACATTTTTAAAGCTCTATATAGGGATAGGACTTTGTTGGTGCCAACCAAGGAAATGCTGCTATTTAACAAATATAAATTGCTCAGTAGAGCAATTAGTAGTAGAAGGTACTGTTATAACATACTATTTCTATACTACTGCCAAGAAAATTACATAGATATCTCCATGAAGCCACCAGCTAAATTGGAAATAGACTTGATCTTTTAATACAGACCTACACAAAAAGCTTTCAAGTTTATTTTGAACTTATTCACACTGTCATTTATTAGATCAGCAACAGCAGGTAGTCCTCGACTTACAACCACAATTGGGACAGATTTTCTGTTGCTAAGCATTGTGATTAATAAAGTAAATTGTGCCCAATTTTGCAACCTTTTTTGCCATGGTTATTAAGCAAATCATTGCAATTTTTAAGTGCCGGAAGCTGGCTAGAAGATCCCAAATGGTGATCTCATGGCTCCAGGATGCTGTAATCATCATAAATACATGCCGGTTGCCAAGCGCTCAAATATTAATCACATGATCCAAAGGATGCTATAAAGACATACATGTGAGACTTGGTAAATCACTTTTTTTCAGTGTCATTGTAAAATTGAACAATTGCTAAATGAATGGTTGTAAGTTGAGGACTATCTGTAATACAGATAATAAAAATATAATAAAAACCAAGCTTGATTGCAGGAAGTATGATTTCTGCAACAGAGTGATCAATGTCTGGAACTCACTACCTGATTCTGTTGTCACCTGCTCAAACCCCCACTCCTTTACCCTCAAACCAACCTCTATTGACCTCACCCCATTCCTAAGAGGTCTGTAAGGGGTGTGCATAAGCGCACAATCCTGCCTACCGTCCCTGTCCTGTTGTCCCCAATTAGTTCCTATTTCTTGTATTTAAACTTATGTTTGTTCTTGTTTCTGTTATATTGTAAGCTCTTGACAAAATTAATAAATAAATAAAAATAAAATATAAATCTATTTCTAGCACGTAAAGTATTGGTGCTTATGATATATAGTCAAATAGTTATTCTGCTCATTTTTATTACATGAGATCTATGCTCATTAAATGTTTTTATATTTCATGTTTTTATCCTTTTAACTGTACACCATCCAGAGTCACTCTTAAAGTGAGATGGGCAGTATCATTTAGATTCCATGACCTGTAAATAGACAAAACAACTTATCAACAGTGGACATATTCTGATCTTGTTGTTGTTCACATTTATGACTGGGTTCTAAGCATATGATTGTTTTTAGCCTTGATAAACTCTCCACATATTGTAGATTAAAGCATTTCTATTCCAGACATCTCTAGCTCTTAAAATTGCCTAAGATCCATTACCAAAGCAATAAGAACACTGTATAAGTCCAAATAATGAAGGAGGCAGAAATAATTCAGACATCTTCTCAATTGGCACAATCTAAGACAGGGAGATGGTAAACCAAAAGCAAAATTACAAGTTTCTGTTACTATAGCCAAACTTAATAAAAGTAGTTTTAGTCCCAATATGAATTTCTTGGTCTGATTTTAGATCAAATTGGGCTGGTTTTAGGGCTGACATGCTACAGAGGGATTTGACTCCTCTGGAGGTAAAGGCCACTGGAGACCATAGGACTGAATACGTATGGTCAAATTTATAATGCAGAACTACAGTTTTGCCTACAAACGTTCTTCAACCTGGTGGTGCCCTCTAGTAGCCATGGTTTCTGAAAATGTGAATATCCGCACACACCAGATGTGCGCATCGGATTGGAGAAAAGTTAGTGCACTTTTTATGAAGTGCACTTCATCCCCCCAAAAAGCAGCTCGCACAGCTGCTTCACATCCGAATTCCCCCCGTTTTCTTTGTGGCTAACCACAGAGAGGGTTGTATCCACTGAATGCAATTGTATAGATTTGATATTTCAAAGCATCTCCCAGGCATCTCAACTTAAATCGTAGCAACACCGTGTCCTCGCGCGGTCTTACCATCCCAAAGACTCTCAGTTACCGCAACGCTCAACCAAACCGGATTCAGGAAGTCCCAGCCTCAGGTATCCCCCCCAAGGCCTAGCTTGGTGATACTTTTTGGGGAGTGGGGGGGAATATCAAATAGCGCCCAGCGTTTGGCCTTGAAATCACGGCCGCATCCCCTTTTTCTTTCCGCTCGGCCGCTTCCCCTCCGCCGCAGCCTGGAAAGGGCCCCACCCCTTCAAGAAGGGCCGCTTCTCCCGGAACCGAAGCACCAGGAAAGCAGTTTCCTGAGGGGGGCCGTTAGAGAAGCGGACCTGCTAAAATGGCGGCTCCCATAGAAGAGAGTAATGTTGCGGAGGATTTTAAGAAGCCAATTTTGCCCCCTCCGTTGCCTCTTTCTCTAGCTCGAGGAAAGGCAGCTGAGCGGGAGGCTCCTAAGCGCCCCCACGGCCCTGAGGTGGGTCCCTGTCCCCTTGTCCTTCCCGAGTATGAGGAGCCGCCGTGGGGAGGTTGCCCCTCCGAAGAGGAATCCTCCGGCTACAGCCTGGAGACGGTAAAAGGCGGCGCGGTGCTGGACCGCGTTAGCTTCGCCGGTCGGAGCCGGCTCCTAGTAGGCCGCGCGCCGGGCTGCGACCTCTCCTTGGCTCATCCGTGCGTGTCGCGGCACCACGCCGTGCTTCAGCGCCGGCCGCCACGGAGCTCCGCGGAAGGGGAAGAAGAGCCCCTGGCCTCGGAGACCCCCGAACCCGGCCTTTATGTCTACGACCTGAATAGCGCCCACGGCACCTTCCTCAACAAAGCGAGGGTCCCTCCCCGCACCTACTGTCGAGTGCGGGTGGGTCACGTCTTGCGTTTCGGGGGCAGCAGCCGCCTCTTCATCTTGCAGGTGAGTGAAGTGCAGAAACTGCACACCATCTGGGCAACAGGAGTCTGTATGCAGGTAACTCAAATATTGCCCAGGATTTGATAGCTGTTCCTAAGTTTATCCCCGTAAACTAGTATTTTTGGGTCTAGAAGCAGTTCGGAGGCAGGTTTCCATGTCTGTATTATTTTGAAATTGATGCTTTGCCATTTGTTGTTTATATGAGCTACGTTTTTTTCTTCTGCGTTTATTTTGCCTTTATGATGTGTGACTTCCAAAGGTAATAAGGTATTTGACATTTGATTCTATCCATGCCCAATATTGGGATGTAATATAGATGTCTTTTGCTTTTGGGAGGAGGGGTTGGTTTTTGCTTTTGTTTTGTGCCTTCAAGTCAGTGTTGACTCCTGGCAACTCCCTGGACAAGCTCCTGCAGTTTTCTTGGCAAAGTATTTTGGTTTGCCATTGCCTGCTTATTAGGGCTGAGATAGAATGACTGGCCCAAGTCACCCAATTGGCTTTGTGCTTAAGGGAGGACAAGCATTCAGAGTCTCCTGCTTTCTAGACTGGTGCCTTCACCACTATACCAGACTGGCTTTTTATGGTATCTGTACTATTAGGCAATAGGAAGAACTATATTTCACAGCAAAATAAGAAATACCAAAGTAGTTGTCTATGTTGTGGGTTGTAGAACATACAGTACAGTATATTATATGCAATACAGAATATAGTGAAGTATATTCAGTACATTACAGTGTATTACAATAGATTTTATATTTTGAAGAGTGCCTATTTTCCTTGAAGATTTGTATTGAATATGAGGAATGGCTAGATAGGTTTTTTTATTACATATTTTTAAAGAAAATCAAAACATGGAAAGCTGATGGCAGAAAAAAACCTAGTGATTCGTTGAATCTGCACTTTGAGTTTGTTTTTGTTTTCAATTTATTAGTTTATTATTTTTAATTATTTTAGATTTCACTTATTTTTATATTTTGGGAGGAGATCCAAGTCTTGTGCTATTATACATAAATATACAGTTTAAACAGTGCAAAATCCTCTCGTGAACAATGTCAAAAAGCAGATAGAAAATATGGAAAGATTACATTTTTAATGTTAGAATGAATATGTTGATTGAATATGCTTATTTGCATGTTACAAAGCTCATTTGATAGTTTTCATTATTCTCATTTTCAATTTCTATCAGACTTTTTCCAATGTTGCAACCACATTTGTTTTCACTGCCTTAAGAAAATGTTGTGGAAACTTTAGAATGAATGTGGGTAATTAGAATAAATAAGATGCTGTTTTTCTGGTGTTATCCTGCCCAGATTTATTTATTTGTGGGTGGGTGGGTATTCTTAGCATATAGTTTTTAAGAGTAGCACAGTGGTTAGAATGCAATACTGCATCTAATTCTGCTGATTGCCCGCTGCCAGTTTGGTAGTTTGAGTCTCACCGGCTCAAGATTGACTCAGACTTCCATCCTTCCAAGGTCAGTAAAATGAGGACCCAGATTGTTGGGGGCAATATGCTGTCTCTGTAAACTGCTTAGAGAGGGCTGGAAAGCACTGTGAAACGGTATATAAGTGCTAATGCTATTTTAAATTCATAACTTTAATCTCCAGGGCCCAGAGGAGGATCAAGAGCCAGAATCAGAACTGACTGTAACACAGTTGAAAGAACTGCGTAAGCAGCAACAGGCCAAGTTAGAAAAAACAATGCTGGGTGATGATTCTGATGAGGAACAAAAGGAAATTGAAATAAAGAAAAGTGTAAATAGTCGGAATGATTTAAGCTGTTCCTGGGGAATGGGTAAGATTATATAATATTTTGTTTCCAGAATCTTCAATGATATGTTTTCATAGAACTTATTTTGCATTGATTTGCTGTGTCACTTTGCAGATGCAATTTGCTTCTGGCTTTAGCCCACTTTCCTCAGCTATATTCTACTTTAAGTTCTTTTACAAATTCTTTGTATGAAATGTTGTGATTGAAATAATCTAATATAGGCTGTGTTTACCAGTAATGTGCTAAGAGAAAATGTCTAGATACATGCATTATATTTAGTTCTAGGGAAATGATCCAGGCATGTATGAGCAAGTGCTTTATATTCAGAGAATCCACATTTATATCTCCGGTTTGTTATCATCTTTATATTTCACAATATTCTAAATCATCCACTGAAGCAAAAAGTTAATATTAAATCTATTTAAAATTATCAAAATCATACTAGATGTAAATTGAGCATATCATAGATTGTATGCAGTCAATTAAGTAACATTTCTTTATCAAGGCTTATAATGGATTTCACTTGATGATCTGTAGAAACCATGCTAAGAAGAAAATGGACCATTTAAGATAGACAAATTTGTTAAGTTACTCATATTTCAGGCTTGATATGTAAGCTAAGATTATACCATCTTATCTTCCAAATATAAATTAATATTGTAACAAAAATCTATTGTAAAGAGATCTATTTTTTCTAAAATAGATTTACTTAGATAAATTCATTATGTTCAAATATTTATAAATTTATTTGACTGAATTTATTTGAAATACTTTTCTAAAACTTTACTGGGTCAAATACTTAAGTCATCTGTCCTTGAAGTAAATTCTCTTCTCTAGAGCCCCATGGTGATAGATCATTCAATTTGTAATGGCAAAATTTTGGGAAATCTGAAACTGATCTTGTGTCTTTCCATTAAACCCAGTACAGGAGTGAAAGGTGGTGTTTTTTTAAACTCATAATAAAAAATACTGTTTTTCTTTTTCTTCTGGAGATGTTTTACAATGTTAAAAAGTACTGTAGGTGCTTGTGTACTATAAACAAAGTAACCAGTAATGTTGATCTAGTAGAACATATCTTATTTTTGATTTCTCATAAGCATCTGATTAGCAGTTCTGAGAATAGATTGGTAGCCATGCGAGGTTAGGTCAAATTTAATGTTCTTATCTTGTGAGTCATCTCTGATGCCTAATGCTACCTGCATTTACTTTTCAGGGGAAGATGCAGAGGAAGAAGAGGGTGAAGAAAATCCAATTGCTATTGAGTTTCAAGAGGATCAAGAAGCCTTTTATTTGAAAGATCCCAAAAAAGCATTGCAAGGGTTTTTTGACAGAGAAGGTGTGTCAAACTTGACAAATTTATAGTGGGAAAATCTCAGAACTGATTTCATTCTGCTCTGCCTAGATGGATCTTTCAATAAAGCTACTTTATTGAAACACAATAACTATGAAACCAGTAACATATGTTGAATCTCTATAGGCTAGTAGAGTTGAAAAGGGTCTTACAGGTCATCTGATCCAGCCTCATTGCTTAGTGCAAGATCTGTTAAAGCATTTCAGACAACACACTATCCATCCTCTGTTGGAACCCTGCCTCTCCCCCCTCCCACTTGAAGGGAAACAAGGCTGAGTTTTTAAATCCCCAAATTCTTCTGTTTTTTTTCTTTTAACTAGCCTGAGAAATAAATTGTTTCCACTGTTTAATATAATAGTTTAATATAATATAATAGCCTGTTTAATATAATATAATAGCCACACTTACATGTACTTGCTATTATTAACTTCTTTTTAGAAGCAGTTATTATGAAATGTATTGCAGTTGTCTAATTAGATTGTTAGGAAATTTAATAGTAATCAAGTTTGTGGTTGTCAAGAAATGATGCAGCTGATTAATTAACAAGTTGTATGAAGGCACACTAACAATCTAAGAGCAAGGTTGAATTAAGGAACACTTTTTGTGAAAGCATATGGAGCTCCCCAAGGCTGCATTTCTACTTACTTAAAAACATGTCATTAGTATTATAGCAGATCATGTTTTCGGTCATTTGCCAAATAATGTCACATCCAGCATTACTTGATACAGATATCTGTGTGGACCAAATTAGTAAAGTGGGTGTCCTCTGCATATTGGTGATACTGAAGACCTAAGGAGCAAATGAGAGCAAGAAGAAATTGCTTGCATAGTGTTAGATGTATTAATTGATAAATGAATCCAGATTAAAATTAATTTCAGGTGAAATTGTATGCAGAGCAAGTGGCGTTTAACAATCATCTACTAAAAGACTTCAAATGATTAATGTTTCCATCAATTTGGAAGTTCCAATATGATTTTATCCATTTAATTAAATTAACAAGTTTACAACGGTAATAAAATATTGATTAATATAAACATTAAAATGCTGTCTTTTAAAACCAGTAATTTGATTCCCTTTTCCCTTTTTATCTAGGTGAAGAATTGGAATATGAATTTGATTCGCATGGAACAGGCACATGGCTTTGTAGGGTGAAGTATGTATGTATGTTATGCAGCAATTTTGTGTATATTCATTCAATTAGGCTGCAAAAGATTTTATGTCTTATTTCTAAATATGGATTGATATCTAATACTGATTTGTGGGGGTTGGTAGTTTATTTTGTTTGTTTTCTGGCTGGTGTTAATTGGTTGGGGGGGAGTCCTATTTTTTTTTCATTTGTCTATTACATCTATGCCACTGAGATTTTTATTAGTATATCTAGAATGGAAAACTAATATGAAGTAATTAAACACCTTACCTTTAAAATAACAGGAAAACACTTTGCTTACGCCAAGTTTAAAATGTTTGATTTAAAAACAAATCAAAGGGCTTGACTGAATTGTTGGTTTTGCTTTATACTTTCACCCCATTAAATTGGATAGGTTGCCTATAGATGATGCCTCAGGGAAACAGCTTGTGGCAGAAGCTATTCATTCAGGGAAGAAAAAAGAAGCAATGATCCAGTGTTCATTGGAAGCCTGCAGAATATTGGATGCTAGGGGTGTGTTGCGACAAGAGGCAGGTAAGTTATGTGGCCAGATTTTTTTCTCAGCAGAAATCTTCATGAAGCTGTCTCGTTATCAAGAACTTAAATTTATGCCTATAGTACTTGCATTATGATTAAATGTAGCTTACTTTGGAGTCTTGGTGCTCTTTGAGCATCATTGTTTTCTTGTGGACATAACATCATCATTCTGAATGTAGTTACTGTTTATAAAAAGGTTTTTTTATCTCACCATTTGATAAGAAGCTCTAAACAAGGTTTGATCGAAAAATAAGCCTTCTGTGTCACTAATTGCAGTTTAAATATGGATATTGGAGTAAATGAAATAGGAAAATAATCCTTGAATCAGCTCTTTTGTTACTTGTACAACATTTTATTTCTTCATATAATCACCACATTTGCCAGCAAAGGACAAGCTTTTTAAAACTTTGTTTTTTCAGCAAGGTCCTGACAGTTGTTTGCCTCTTGGGTGACTTGTATTAACACAATACAGCCTTTTTTCATACCATTTTGCAGCCTACTGAAGTGGAAAAACAAATGTCAAACAACATGTTGGAATGTGGTTTTTCCAAACTGAGGTGTAGCTCCCTTGAGATCTGTCCCTATAGACAGATCAGAGAAGATGTGAATAACTTTTCAGATGCACATTGTAACAGTCCTCCTTATTCAGAGTTTCATTGTATTGTTTTCATTGTTCATTGCTGTACATTTTGTTGTTTGGAGGTTTATGGGAGGTGTGTACATTAAATTTACACTAAAAGGAAGTGTGATGACAAAAAGTTTAGTAGCTACTGTTACAACTTCAAGTATGTTAGCACTGCCATCTTTTGGCAATTTACAACATTAGAGTCATTCAATCCTCATAATATATTGCTTATATTTGTTATTTTCCTCACAAATATGTGATCTTATATGGCATGCTTTTTTTAAAAAAATGTGTGAAATCATATAATATGTGTGGATTACTGACTTCCATTTGCTTATATTTTGTTTTTTTTGTCAATATCTTATTTGCAAATTTATCTGTAGATTATTTGTAAACTATCCAGAATCATGCAGGTGAGATAGACAGTGTAAAAATTGATAAGTAAATAAAAATATAAATACTTTTTCCCTTAGTGTCCCGGAAAAGAAAAGCAAAGAATTGGGAAGAAGAAGACTTCTACGATAGTGATGATGACATATTCCTTGATCGGACAGGAGTTATTGAACAGAAACGACTCAACAGAATGAAGAAAGCTGGAAAGATAGATGAAAAGCCCGAAACATACGATTCATTGGTAAGAGCAAATTGAGCCAGTGATACATCCAGCTTTGTTGGCCTTGCTGTTAGAAAAACAAGTGATAAAATTATTTTATTTAAATATCATTCATGCCTCAAAATCTCTTGACCTGCTACAGAATTAAGATATTTAAAACTAAAACCATATTGTCATAAAAGTTGTTAGACAAAAGCAGAATTACTAATGAAATTACTTTAAAAATTGTCTTGATAAACTAAAACAAAAACATTTTTTTTATTATAAAAAAACTTTATTAAACAAATTTATACTAATACAGTAAAATCAAACTTTCCGCTCATTGCAACTTAAGCAATCTGACATCTCAAAATTGTGTAAAATATTCATTCATGGTTGTTACTTTAAAAGTATAATACAAAGTTTCATCTAATTATATATTACAAATCTAATTACATATAGTGTTACTAGCTTCCGTCATACCTTTTTATTTGACTTTATTTTATTAATTTCATGTCTATCTTCTAGCCAACTGTACCAACAATTCCAAATCTCATAATATTCTGAATCCTCTTTGTTCTTAAGTTCCAATGATAGCCTGTTCATTTCTGCACATACCAAAACTTTTTTTATGATCATGAAGTCGGGAGGAGTATTTTCGCATTTCCAATTTTGGGCGAAGGCGAGCCTTGCCACTGTTAACATGTGAAGTATAATATATAATAATTTTTTACTATTTTTTTGTTTTAGAATTGCCAATAGAATATTTCTGGTTTCCATTCAATTTTAACTTTAGTAATTTCTTCAAGCCAATTACTAATTTTCCTCCAATACTTTTTTGCTTTTGGACAGGATCACCACATATGATAGTAGGTGCCCTGCTCATATACACATTTCCAACAGCTTGCCAAGTTATTAGGAAACATTTTTGGGAGTCTCGCTGGCGGTAGGTGCCAGTGATAAAACATTTTATATAAATTCTCCTTATAAGTTGCAGATTGATTTAATTTATAATTTATTTTCCATAGGTTTTCCCAATCTTCCAAATTTATGCTACATCCAAAGTTTTTGGCCCAGATTATCACTGTTTCTTTTACAGTTTCTTCCTCCAGTTTATACCTTAACAAATAATTGCACATTTTAGTAATCATTTTTCTATCTGGTCCCTGTAAGATTTTATCCAATTCCTATTGATCCGAATTTATCCTGTATAGTTCTATATCTTTTTTTGTATCTAGATAGTATCTGTATATACGGCCACCAATCTACTTGTATCCTTGTAACATTAATTCCTGCTTCGATTTTAGTTTCCCTTGTTCATCTAATAACTCTTAATAGCTCACTGTCTTGTTCAAATCTAAAACATTTGGATATATCATAGCTTCCATGGTTGACATCCAGACTGGAATCTTTGTGTAATGGTTTCATTTTAATTTTTCCCATACCCTTAGTAATGTGTCTCTAATTTGATGCCTTTGGAAACGCGAATGAAATTTATTTTTTCCTTCCCACATGAACGCGTACCAACCAATTTGCAGGTCATGTCCTTCTGATATTAACACTCTTTCGTTCTTTAAGTTTACCCAATCTTTGATCCACGTTGTTATTGCAGCCTGATAATAAAGATCCCAATCTGGAAGTCCGAACCCTCCCTTAGCCTTACTATCCTGTAGGAGTTTTAGTTTTACCCGAACCTTTTTCCCTTGACAACCAATTTTTTTTAAATTGTTTTTTGTTTAAAAATCGTTTCTTCAAAAAAGGTTTTTCCTAATTTTATTAGAATTGTTTGGAAAAGATATAATATCTTGGGTAGTATATTTATCTTAATAGTAGCAATTCTCCCTATCAATGATATTTGAAGTTTCCCCCAATTTTCCAAATCTTTTTGTATTTGTTTTAGTAATTTCTTGTAATTACCTGTTTTTATCGATCAACAATTAGCTGTCAACCATATCCCAAGATACTTCAATTTAAAAAAAAAAAGGGTTTCATGGTGCCTAAATAGATGCATAGATTTGCCTTGTACTTCAGAGCAAAAAGGTTTCATCACTATTTAATGAAAATAATGTGATGGCATCATAATGCATATTTTTCTGTCTTATTTTATGTATTTAGAAAAGCTATTTCCATACAACTTATTCTGAATATCTCAAAATGATTTACAGTAATTATAAAAATGTACAGTAAAAGCAAGAGAAATCAGGACAGCAGAGTAAAAATGAATACATACAGTAAAAAGAAATGTATGGGAAGAGAGATTTAACTGCAGAAGAACAACATAAAAATGAGTTTTGAAAAGAAAGATAAAACAAATCAGCACTGAAGTCTGACTTACTAATTGTATCTTATCTATTTATAGGTTGCAAAACTACATGCAGCTGAGAGAGAACTCTCTGAGATAGCAGAGAAGCTGAAATCTTCAAGGACGAGTAAGACAAGTTTCCATTAAAATTGGGAAAATCTCATAGGAATATAGCATATATGAGTGCAGGCTGTCTTACACAGATTCCTAAGCAGTTAAAACTGGAGTAAAACCTAAATGGCATTAGCCACATAGATCATGGAAAGTGTTGTTTTTACATTGTAAGCTGCCCAGAGTTGCTTTGAAATGAGATTGGCAGCCAATACATTTCTAAATAAATAAATAAAATTGTTTTGAACTCATTCTTCAGTAATATATTTATGCATCATGCAGAGTCAAATTGTAGAATATGGTTGATTAATGTGCAAACATTGAAATAATTTTTATTTCCACCAACGTGTAATAGTGTAAGTTTATTTTCATAGACTTAACCGATTCAGCAGTGACCAGAGGAAAAAAGATAATTACCAGATAAAAAAGATCATTGATTTCATCATGTCGTATTTTTTGGTCTCTAGGACCTTTCTAAAGGCTCACAAGGTAGAGGGAGATCTGTTCCATAAGTCAAGTGTTTCAACAAAAAGCATGCTTCATGGATCTCACATGGTGAGATTGTTTCATTAATGGGTTGTGGAGCATGCCAGCCCTATCAGATCTTATACAATTGACCGAGATAATTAGAGCTAGACTGTAGAGAATAAGGAAAATGACCTTGATAAATATATGCAAGAACCATTATCTAGGTAAAAGGGCTGAGGCACTTTTTAAGTTTAGAATATCAGGTAACATTTGTAAGTGACTCAGACTGACACCTTCTTAATTGACTGAAGTATGTATAAGAAGGAAGAGAAACTACAACACATTCTTACTTGCACTGCCACACAGTCTTCAAAGGCAGCCCCAGAATAGTCCAGTTAACTTTAGCACGAGTAATTATGAATAAGACCCTCTGATCCAGAAGAGGTGCAGTTGTTGCATAAGGTGAATTTGTGTAAAGGCTGCCTTAGCCATAGCTACTAGCGATTCTTCCAGGAATAACTGGAGTCTAGGACAGCTCCCATATTTCCCATTGCTTCTGCCTGAGTTGGCATAGCCCCATCCAGAACTAAGGATGATGATTTCCCAGGCTAAATAGCCTCCAAATCTACACTTATTCACTATTACTTGGGTTGAGCTGTTTCTCCACATCCAGACTTCCACAGCCTGTATGACAGAATGTTGACCTGCTGCTATACATTAAGTGTGGGCGTTGAATATTTGAAATAATCCTGTTCTCAAAGAAAACTGCAACCCCTGAATCAGGGCAAGTATTCTCTCATTTTCTGAGAGGAAGGTTCTCTTACTGGTGTGAGAATTCTTGGATTTTTGTAACACTTTTTTAAATTTTAAGTAGGATAGTATATAGAAGACAATGCAAATCAAAATACGTCAACATTATTGAAGTTAATAATATTGTTTGCTTTTATATATAACCATATATACATATTTTTACAGATACATATTTTAAAAATATATTTTATAAAAATATATATATTTCAAAATATATTTTAAAATAGAAATAGGATTACAGCACATTTCTTTTGAAAGAAGGTACAATTCTATGGCTGTGAGATTAAGAGATCCATTATTGGGAATCAGTCTTAAATAATTTATGACTTCGTTGTTTCAGTTTTTGTATAAATCAAATTGGAGATAATAGCTAGCCATTACCTTAGCAAGTTTTGTGAAATATAAGCCATAAGATGCTTATTTGCATTAGATTTAAAGTTAAACATGTACTTTACAAAGCATAAAATGTTTGTTTTTACATAGGACAGGTTGGTTTTAGACTTTCCTTTGCTTAAGAAATAGTAATTTTATTAAATAAATCAATATTGTTTTAATCTTTAAATGAAAAGGAGAAGGAAGAACATTGCCACAAAAACTGTTATAAGAATAATTGGATACAACAATGCATTGAAACGCTAAGCTTTTGCAGATATTCTCTGTATTATCTATTTATTTACAAATATATTTGAATCTGTATTTCACATATATGTTTTAATATATAATTTCCCATAGCACAGTCCCATTCAGCAACTCAGGATTCACTGGATGAATTCATGACAGAAATCAAGTCAGGCTGTTCCGTAGACAGTGTGACACGTAAAAAACTTCATTTGAGAACTTTTGAACTGAGGAAGGAACAGCAGCGATTGAAAGGATTAATTAAGATTGTTACCCCTGCATCCATGCCAGAGCTGAAGTCCCAGTGAGTCCAATTACAGAGCACTAATCATTTTGACTTTTCCTTTTATTTTAAATGTTTAATGTAATACACTGTACTTTAACCATTCAGTGCACTTATAATAGAACACAGGTTATATTTGAACTTAAAATATTCTGGCTTCAATTTAAATTATGGTTTGAATTAATTGTGGGTGGTGTGGGCACCATTGTAATATGTAATAACCCCTGAGCAATTGCAAGAGACGTACAAGTTCATGCTTGATATAATAAATTCACTGTTGTGTGAACTGGGCTTGATTGGCTGCATTGGGTTCCTATCAGTCATATAAACCTGTACTGCATGAAGTCAGCCCAAGTAGAGTTGTGTAGGTTATTCGTATGAGTAAACTTCGTCCTTCAATATCTTTAATTTTATATATATATATATATATATTATTTTTTAAATTTTATTTATTTTCCATAGGCTTCAGAATCAAGATCTGGAATCTCAAAATAAGCCCAAAAAGCTAACTTTACCCCTATTTGGTGCCATGAAAGGGGGAAGCAAATTCAGACTAAAAACAGGGACCGTAGGGGTAAGTAAGAAGAAAAGGCAGTGGCTTTTAATTTTACACTGTAAAACTTTTCCAAGTACACAATACTGTGACAGTATAGGGAAAAGCTGCCGCTGGGTTTCAGAATTTGCATCTGACATGTTTATTATAGGAACTATATATTTTCTGAAATAAACATTAGATCATTAACCTCTTATTCTTAGACATACATATAAAGTCAGCTTTTAATGCACCTTTTCCAATTTTCCTTATTTGTCAGGGTCAGTTGAAAAACAACCTTTACTGTAATTTATGCTTACAATATAGAAGCTGCCCATGAAACGTCCAGATATACCAGTAAACCTATTAAAGATGAAAGATGAGGAGCCAGAAGAGGAGGAAGAAGAGGAGGAGGAGGAGGAAGATGATGTGAACAACAGTGTAAATCAAAGCTCACAGAACACAAAGATGGAAATGGTTAAAGAAGGGGATCTCTCCAGTTCTTATTCAGCCAGAAGGCAAAGTATGGAATTCTTTAATGATAATTATTTATACTGTTTTTTAAATATTCTTTCAACTTGCACATATTTTTATTAGTTGGAACTTAATAAAGTGAATAAGAAGATTTAGTCATTTTATTAGCAATTTTATTTACTTCCGGTTTTCTTAATACAGTAAATTTTCAATTTTAATGGGCTAATAGGGTAGAAAGGATGTTCAGGAAAATGGGAGGAAGGGGTTGATCATCAAAACACATGAGGTACATCTGTTTCCCTCTTCTGTGGTCACAATCAGAGGGAGCTATAAAGACAAAGTTGGTGACAACCATTGCTCAGGTGGCAGCACTGGAGAGTGACTACATTGTGAAGTGATTGCACCCATGCAGTGCCTGGCCCATTGGGGCACATCTCACTGGGCTGCCATCTTCCATGTGTATTAGCCAACATTTCCATTATCTAAGTCTCTTTTCAGCAAAGTCAATTATTTCTCAATATTTAGCTTCATCAGCTCCAACATCTGGTACAGTGTTAAATGGACTAAGAATTCTTATTGAACACTACAGTGCAGTGGCTATGTGAAACATGCACAGTTCTCACATTGCCCAGAATATTTTTAATTTTAAACTTTATATTCTGTATCATCAACCCAATGTAGTTACAAAATAGCATAATTATAAATTTAATACAAAAGCATTACCTAATAGTGGTATAAAACCTCTATTTGTAAGGAATGAAAAAGTGTAGAAGTTACTATTTTTATTCCTAATTAACTAAATTTCTGGGGTATATTTATATTTTTATAGGACTTAACTGTCAGTCTGAGTCTTCAAGCAAGCATACAAGCCCATTAGCTCATAATTCCCCAGTGAATGAATTGCAGATAAAACTAGAAGGTAAGCTGTTTTATCCAGCTCTTTGTTTCTGAACAATCTATGGGTTATGAATACCAGGACAAAATTATAATTTCACTGATACTGAAAGAAATTATATTTCACAACTGGTGAGGTAAATAGTTGTTGGCTCTTAAGAAGGTCACTTTTTTCTAGTTCAAAATGAAGGAAAGTATTTTAAACAATGTTTTGCATTCAATGACTGCAAAATTGAGAATGAAAATAAATGGAATAGCTTCCAGTCCGTAGACCTGGGCTGAACTTTCAGCCTCTCCAGATGTCTGATGCATATCAATCTCAGCCATTTGAAGATGTTTCCCAGTGACCTGAGGGGCTGTCAGAAAAATTCAGGTGCCTCAAACCAGTCATCCTGAGCCTTGCTGAAAATTTTACTCATTCTGCAAATCCAGAGAGATCTTGGAGCTTTGAATGTTCAGCTGATTTCTAGAAAAGTTCAGTTCTTGTAAAAGCATTAATTTAGAAACTTGAGCCTTTTCAGAAGAATGAAGAGAAAAAAAACAATAGTAAATGGTGCTTTAGTGTTGGACATTTGCAGTAGGAGTGGAATACATATATAGGTGAAGAACTACTTTACCTTTTTTTATATAAAACCTAACAGAAGAATAATTATCAGTGATAGTACCATTTTAAAAATACACATATAACAGCAATTGAAACAAAATAAATTTAGAGGAAGAAACATAGGAAAATATATTTCAAACAAAGTATTAGAAATGTTAATGCTTCACCTAATATATATTACAAAGGCAGCATGACAGTCCCTCTGATATAAACTTTTCTGCAATATCAGCACTCTTTGTTTTGTCAGATGAGACACAGTGCTTTATTTTAACAACTGTGTCTTGAAAGGATTTATTTACTTTGAAAATAACCAAAAAATTAAGAACTGGTGTTATAAGCTTCATTTTTCTAACTGTTTATTTTACTAGCATCTGAGATGCCAGCAGAAAAACCGAAGAATCAGAAAGTTAGCAGTAAACCTAAGGTGAGTTGGAAGATCAAAACTTTTTGTTTGTTTGTTTCATAGATTTACATAGCGGTCCAACTTACAGCATTAAAATAATTAAAAAAAACATTTAAAATATAAAAACCACAGCAGTTGAGAATCACAAAAAACAACAGCAATCAGCATAACCAGGAGACTACCTGCAGTTTGAATTGTATCTGGAAGTACTCTATTAGCCAATGCAAATCATGGTACTTTATGTGCCAAAAAAAAATAGACAGCACCAATTGCCCCACCACCCCGTTATACATCAGCTGCAAAAGCACTTCAAATGGAGGCTCTTGTAGAGCACATTGCAGTAGCCCAGTCTAGAAGTCACGAGGCATGACTTCAATCCAGTGCACAACCAGTGCATAACCCAGAGCTGGGTAAAAGCCCTCATAGCCTCTGTTGTCACTGTTCCTTGAACAAGATTTGTGAGTCCCAGATCGCAAACCAGTTTGGTCTGAAGCAGTGCAATCCAATCCAGATAATCATGATTATAATTATGGATAACAGATGCTTAATACTCTTTACATATTTAGGGATGAGAATGGGGGGGAGAGATGTTCCCTTATGAATTAGAAGAATTACTTGATAAGGAACTTGAGTACAATTGTCTCCTTGTCTCAGCCTGATCCTGTAGAGTATTGCTCTTGGAGGGACAACTTTTATACTTGTCAAAAGGAGATACTTCTTGATATTTTGGGAATAGTAGTTTTCCTCACAAACATTACAACAGTTTATATAAAAGAATTATAATTCAAATACTTCGTTTGCACTGAACCAGCAATGATTAAAATATCTCACCTAATCATACTTGGTAGTGCAGTAGAGCTAATGATAGAGAAATTATGTGCAGCTATTTTACCATCTGCTGTCAATCTTGCTCTACAAATCTGCTGTAGTGCTTAACTGAATGTTAGCCAGTGCTGCATGAGTCAGGAGATACTGCATTTTTTTTCTCCTTCGCAAAGCAAAAATTGACTAAAAATAAAACTTATTCTCTAGCACAGCATCAGATATAACAATGTGATGTCTGACCACAAATTACCTTATTTAAAATGTCTTGAGGGAAATTTTGTATTCTTTTCCTGGAATCTTCTAGTAGAAACAATTATTTAAACAATTGTTAGTGTTTTCCTCAATTTAAATCCCAATTTTAAAAACCCTACATATTATTTAGATTTTTCCTCATTTGGTACAAAATCCCTCACAGTAAAGCAAGCCTCAGAGTACAGTCTGACAAAATAGTACTTTGCCCACAAATCATAATTGGAAATGAATTCTAGGCAGAGGTGGCATTCAGCAGGTTGACCACTTCTGGAGAACCAGTAGCAGAAATTTTGAGTAGTTCGGAGAACTGGCAAATACCACCTCTTACTGGAGTTTTTACAGTATCCTTCCCCTATCAAACCCATCAAGCGATGCCCACAGAACCGGTAGTAAGAAAAGTTGAATCCCACCACTGATTCTAGGTATGATGGCTGGCCAAATATATGACTTTGATACTCCAGTTTACATTTTGGCTTCAGGCTCACTCATTCTCAATCTCAGCAATTTTAAAATATGTAGACTTCAGCCCTCACAGCTGGCTGGGGAATTCTGGGAGTTGAAGTCCAACATCTTAAAATTTTTGAGATTGAGAAACACTGCTTTAGAATATACAAGTTATATTCAATCTATTATTCTCCCCCTCCTTCCCCAAATCCAGCTGGTTACACAGCCTGCTAGCAACATTCCACTACCTCTGTCTTATTTTGCTACTGCCAAATATTCAAGACTTGAATACATCTCTGTATACAGGACAGAGTGCTTTGAGGTGGGGGGGAGGGGCAGGTTTGTTACTGTACTTTCTTTTAAACCTTGGAATCAACTGCTTTACAAAGAGATGGGAATCATTGTAAATAGCTGTGTTAACCTGTAACAAGAATTTAAATTGTGCAGAATAATTATATTAGCAAAATTTAACATTTAATAGATTTATTCTGTTGATTTGTTTAATCAGCACTAAATTTAAATTTTGCCTCCCGCTCATTTTAAAAATGAGATTCTGAACCTTTTTGCAGCATAATCCCTGGTGTGCCCACAGAGCAATGAATGTTGTACATACTGGCATATGTTTACAAAAAGTAAATTACTTTCTGTCCTACAGATTCAACATTCATCATCCTCAAACTATCCAGAAGATGATCCAGATTACTGTGTATGGGTACCACCTGAAGGTAAAGGGGCACTCAGAGTAATTGTGGAACATGAGCTGCTGACAAAATGTAGTTTACATATGAACAAAGAAAACTTAGAGACAGGTGTTCTAGTTCCATTTAATCACAAAGTAAACTGGCTAACCAAAGTGAACCTAACTAACTCTTATCAACCCTGTAGAGGAGGCAATGGCAAACTAATTCTTCAATCTTGCCAAGAAAACTGCAGGGACTTATCCAGACAGTTGCCAGTAGCAAGACAGACTCAAAGATACACATACACATACAGAAAAATCCTAACTTATTTGAACTATAGAATAAACAATATACAATCAGAATGGTGTGTGTGTGTGGGGGGGGTGTTATGCTATAGATTCCTATTTGATCTTCAGAATGGAATTATGTAAAGTATTGACAAATCAGTGTTCCATCTCTGAATATAATAGGATGAAGTGGATTTTGGTAATCACATGCTGTTATAAGAAGTGTACATACATACACATATTTATTAGGTTTCCAGCTCCATTTCTCAAATGGCAAATAGCCTGCAAATTCTACATATACCTTTTGTGTTTCTAACCTATCAATTTCTAATCAATCAATTTGCTAAAAACATTTTATCCTACTCATTAAAAAGATATTCCCTGGATTTAAAGCTAAAACTATATAAAAAATAAAATATTGAACAAACTTAAAAAGCCATTGAGGTAAAATCATTGAAACAACAGTAATGCAAATTATTTTTAAAAACACTACAGCAAAAAATTATGTTAACTGTAAAAATATTATTTTCTTTTCTCTCTGTTGAGCAGGTCAGAGTGGTGATGGCAGAACCCATCTGAATGCTAAATATGGCTACTAAATTACCCTGAAAAGTAAAGAAGTATGGCACAGCAAGTGATAACTGGTACAATATGCCATTGAAATGACAAGCAACAATTTTTTGTTCATTTTCTTAAACACTGTTTAATGATTCCTGATCCTTAAGGATGTTTTTCCCTAGAAGTGAATGTGTGTATAATGTTCATCCTAATGTATATAGTGGTGATAATTAAGAATTTACAGGTAACGTAGATATAGCAATGTTGGTTTTATAAAAACTTTTTAAAAAATGCTTGTTTTTATTTCTTTAACATTATTTCTTGATGTAAAAGCGGTAAAGGAATTAGTAAATTATTTCTTGATATAAAGGGGTAAAGGAATTAGTTTTAGATTTCTATTTAGTCAATATGTATGCTAAGGGCTACTTCAAATACTTTGATGATTGGGTTGATTATCAAAATGTTTTCTGCCTGTCCATGTACAAGTATACATTTCCACAAAATACAATTGCCAATTGCCCGCTCCAGGTGGAGCTGCTGAAACTTAGGCTAATTTTTATCCTTCCTTTCTGTTGCAGTCTTTTCTGTAAAAGTTCTTTGTTATTGTTTTTCTTTTTTCTGTCTACAAGAAGGTGAAATACCAACACATTCATATCTTGGCCAGTTGTAGATTAGTATTAATGTGGGTGGGAAAGTGTGTTAATCTTTGGCAGTTCCTGAAAGAATGCTAAATATCACTGGATAGTTAAGAGAGTCAAAGCTAAGATATGGAAGTACTATGAATTAGTACTGAATAGTATATCTGAAATTTTTTGGATAAGCCAGAAAACAAGGCTTCTGCCCAAAAGGCAATTATCCTTGGTCTAGACCAGGTTTTACTGCATAATTTCTACATTTAGGCTGCATCATGTTTCATATGAGAAAAGAATAGAAATTGCATTTAAAAGGAAAAAAACAAACTAGGGGCATACAATATAGTCTTATCTACTATGTAAACATATTAGTTATGAGAATGGAACCAGTTCGGGACAGGAGAGGGGGAAGCACTGGAAAATGTTTACTAGTTTCAATGTTCTTTCAATGGTAAAATAGAGCCTGTAGTTTTGAAGCCTTACATTAATGGATTTGCTAGCAAGTAGGAATGTGAGAATTACACAATTCATAGACAGAAAGGAGTATTGAGCTCGTAAGTATGGCCCTGAAGTTAGTTTAATTCCATAAATTATGGGTGAAAGAAAAGATATGTGATTGGGCCTGAGACAGACTTTATGAAATATGCTAAACCCCCATATTTATCTAAAGCATAAAAATCTACTTCCATTTTGTTCCAGCTGTAACATTCACATACTAATAATCATTTCTCTTATACCTAAAAGATTTTAAGAGACATTTATTTTACACTTATGCGAAAACCCAGATTTTGGAGATATATGGATCAGAGGGAGGTTTATTTCTAAGATCTCTAATGTGGCTCTTTTAAGGATCAGAGTCCCAGTAATTTTAATCTTTTTAAAAAATGGAAATGGGCATGCGACAAAGTAAAGTATAGATAAAGTAGCATTAGACTTATTTGCCAAATGCCTCATTCCTCTGAAATTCCGAGAAAAGAAACATAGCTAGTGGCAGCTTATGCTTTGGAGAGCTCTGCCTATTTGCATACTAAACTAAGCTTGGGATATAGGAAATATCCTGGAGGAAATAAAACAAGTAGCAACTTCAAAAATGTGTCTTTATCTGGAAGCAAAATAAATACAGTTTTCTTTCTACTAAGTGGGAATGTTAGGACTGGTTTTGCCCAATATAATAGCAGTTTGAAAATAATTAAGCCTCATGAAATCTGGCATTTATGAAATTTCAAATGTCCAAAATGGTTGTTGACCTCCGATTTATCAAATATTTCACCTTGTTTAGAGATAAGCTGCCATCTTCAGCAACAGCTTTTCATTCCTTTGAGTCATCCATTCTTAGTAAAGATTACTAATCTATTCTTAGCAAAGATTACTAAGAACATAATGAGTATATTATAAAATTATAGGGATTTTTTAGCCCTTGCTATAATTTAAAATTCTCCTCCAACTGTTAATTCATTTCTGTCACTCATTTGTGACTACTTGGGGTTTAAGCTGTGAGTGTTCCCAAAGTTTCCTTTAAAAAAGAAACAGATTTTCACTTATCAGGCATACCATGTCCAAGACTGCAAAATATGGAAGGTCATAGATGGCAGCAAAATGACTTAGAGATACAGAAGTCCCTCTGCTGCCATCTAACGACCATCTAGATTTTTACAACCTAGAAATATGTCAAAGCTATCCTTCCAGTGTTCCTCCTAAATATACAAATGATAGGAAACCTTTTTGTTTTTAATCCAAATGAACATTCTTTATTTCTTCTCCTCTGTTTTTTCTCATGCCAGCAGACACAGAAAGATTTAAATTATTAAGGCCTGCACGTGGGTGGAAGCTGTGAGGGTATTTTAGATAATTCAGTCTGCTGTTCTTTGTTCCACATTACAGAAAGCTCTTGTCGATGTTCTCCTTTAGTCTTGTGTGACATGAACTTCCCTCAGCAAGCCATAATTGTGGCCAGACTCTCTGTGTGACCACAAGAGTTAAATGAAAAGAAGACATTCCTGATTGCTTGTAGTTTAACTCTGCAGTTTTACACAGCAGCTTCATACATTAAGATGGAAATATAAGCCAGCTGAATGGGGCAGAAATAATAAGGTACAGCACAGTGATTGAAAGTTAATCTAATAATAGGACCAAGCTTCAGATTAATCCAGTTCCATTGGATCAAAGCATACCTAATCATCATCTCTTCCAGACTGGAGAAAATGTCTCTAAATAATCCAGGAATATAAAAAATTGTGAATTGGGATGGGTTGTTATTTAAATCATTATAGAGGCAATTGTTGTGTGAAAGGAGATGCTGCTCAACAGTTGAAAGATTTGAAACTTTAAAAAAATGGGGGAAACCAGCCAAGTGTCTTTAAGATGGCAGAGTGGATTGGCAGTTAAGCCAAACTGTCTCCTTAGAAGCACTTTAAGTTTCTAATGTGGATGGTAAATAATTATTCATATTTTATTAAGGTATACAAGGTATATAATGGAGGAGGGAAAAGGATAAAGGTATAGGATAAAGGGGGAAAGAAAAACAGATTTCTGACTCTTTAGCTCAATAGAATGACATCATGACAGTCACAACTTTTTACTTTTACATAATATGTATTAGCATTTCTATAACAACAACCTAGCTAATCAACAAAACCCAAAGTCAATGTTTCAATTTTTTTTCCCATCTCAAGCACAAAATCCAGAAATGGTTTCCAAGTAGAAACAAAGTTGGATGTGTTCTTTTCCTTGTTTAAAGCAGTTAATTTAGCCATCTCTGCCAGTTCCATCAGTTTTTCCAGCTATTCATCTGTTGTGGAAATTAAAGTATCTTTCCATTTTGGGGCATATTGGTAAAATAATTATTAAGTTCAGACCTATTAATGCTCTGTTTAAAATAAAAGACTGGTCAGTTATTAAATTGGAGTTGTTGTTTTTTGTTATTAGATGATCAGAAGTGTATGCATGTGAGTGTTTGTGTGCATATCTTTGTAGCTGTTTTTTCCCCTGCCCATTTGGGTGGGAAGCTGTTATTTCAGAATCCTTTAAATAACCCATGTGAGTTTTTTCCTCATAAATTTTCATCACCCTCTGTTAATAAAATAATCACATATTTTTCTTAAAAACAATTTGGCTTTACTGCTTTGACCTTTACCCAAGTCATGAAAGATTTATTGTTGTCTCCAAATGCATCTTTCCAACCCAGAAAGAAACTTAATTTCTCAAAGGCTGCTGTAAAGCTGAGTTTAAAAATGTCAAGTGGACAACCAAATTGCAGGAAGAAATTCAACAGACACAATGCAGCATGTGTGCAATTAAACAGTGAAAGAGGTAGAATTTCACTGTATACAGAACAAATCCTTTTATCAGCTGGCATCTGATCATCATTTACAAGTTTTGTGGTTAAGTATTTATACACAGTGAACTTATTTCTGCCCTTCCTGGTAAATCTTGGCTGTTTAAAATAAAAAACAGATGCTGGCAAACAATTCTGTTTTTTGTAAACCTATGTTTTGGTGAAAATCTTGATAGGATACTTTTGTACTTTCCCTCAATTGCTTGCATGTGTTTCCATCTTGTAGAAAGTTGTGCTTGAGACTATGTCTATCTTTTTGTGAAATGCTAAGATGCCATTCAGGACAAATTTAAAAAGAGCTTAACTAGTTTATATCGCCATGCTTTTGGAGAAGAGACTGCTTGCCCTTTTTTTAAAAAAATCATCACACAAGAACTCTACAAAAAGAAAACTAGGATCAGATTATTAAAGCAGCAATTTATAAGTTCAATTGCAGGCTATGGGATGTGACCTTACTCAAAAGCAGCCATTAGTATTAGTTTTTAAGCATTCAAACCTACACATGGCTTTATCCACAAGCAGAAATAACTTTTCCCATACAAAGTTGGTGGCATCTTGTTACTGGTCATCTTGTTGGGACACCAGTGTGCAGCCTTTTCTCTGATGTAGGGAGAAGGCGGCTATGGGGTTGAGCTTGAGATCTTGACCCATATTCTCTGAATAAAATCTGTGATGACCATAGAGATTACATCACTTGTTCCTGCAACTGCTGCAGCTGGATTGTTCTATCAGGGTGTCCAATTGTAGATTGAGGCATTAAGCAATGAGAGTGATAGGAACAACTAAGTGTATGGCAGAAGTTTTCTCATTTTCACTGCAATGCAAAGCCCCCAGCAGCTGTCATATCCATACGCAAAACATCAAGCTCCCGCCACCTTCACACATCTGCTACATTTCCAAATGCTTCCACGCTATTTTTTTTTTTAAAAAAAACTGTCAATATGGCATGGTGTGGCATCTTTCAAAGGTTCATATGCAGAAAAGCATTTCTGAGGCAATGACTCACATAGCATATGAACACAGCCATTTGGAACATGTTTAGTCAGAAGAGGATCCCTTGTTTTCATCAGAATCTTCATCCAAACTCTTTGAACACAGAAGCATTCTGCATTCCCCAGGCTGCAGAGAACAAGTCCATCATGAAAAATTCACTCTGAAATAGGAAAAGAAAAGAATGTAGAGGGGCTTCTTAAATGAGAGGCTGTCATTAAATATATCTTCCATGATTAATGGAACTAACCTTAATTAATCTGTATAATAGTGAGCTAGGAATTAACCACATGTGATGCATTTGCACAACTTGCTAGATTAAAATGTCATAATTTTTATGGTTCATTTCCATATGAATATAGCTAATAAGACATGGAGAACTACAGAAGAAAAAAATCGTGTTTAATAAATGTGTTTAATTAGAATTGGAATCATAAAATGGAAATGGCATGGCCACTTGATAGAAAAGACAGAAGAGTTTTTATTTATGGATAAAAATTCAATTACAGTTGATTTCCAAACATTCAAGACCTTTTAACAGAACAAAATAACTGAAATATAGGATGTCATCATACTTTGTTGCAGATAGTCAAGCAGTGGTGTGCATTATTCAGCATAATTGATGATCCAAGCTCTGTAAAGGACCTTGGAATACTCACCTCTAATGATCTAAGTGCTAGTGCCCACTGCAACTACATAGCCAAAAAGGCATTAAGAGTTGTTAACCTAATCTTACGTAGCTTTTTCTCTGGTAATATCACACTACTAACTAGAGCATACAAAACATTTGCTAGACCAATACTCGAATACAGCTCATCAGTCTGGAACCCACATTACGTATCTGATATTAGCACAATTGAGAAAGTCCAGAAATATTTCACAAGAAGAGTTCTCCACTCCTCTACTCGTTGTAGAATACCTTATGCCACCAGACTTGAAATTCTAGAACTAGAAAACCTTGAATTACGCCGTCTTCGGTCTGATTTAAGCATGGTATATAAAATCATACATTGCAATGTCCTACCTGTCAATGAATACTTCAGCTTCAACCATAACAACACAAGAGCACACAACAGATACAAACTCAAGGTTAACCGCACCAAGCTTGATTGCAGGAAATACGACTTCAGCAACAGAGTGGTCAATGTCTGGAATACTCTACCCGACTCTGTAGTTTCTTCCCTAAACCCCAAAAACTTTAACCTTAGACTGTCTACTATTGACCTCACCCCTTTCCTAAGAGGTCTGTAGGGGGCGTGCATAAGCGCACCAACGTGCCTACCGTCCCTGTCCTATTGTTTCTTTTATTTTTCTTTCATTTTTCTTATATGTACTCATTTCATGTATTCATAATTATGTATACACTTTTACTTATTATCTCGTAAACAATTGACAAATAAATAAAATAAATAAATAAATAAATAATCATACAATGCACTCAAATCTTGCCATTTTGTGCTTGTGCTCTCAAAGTTTAAGTTTAGGATAGATATTTATTCTTACCAGTAAGGAGTAAATCTAAACTTAGTAACTGATTAAGAAGTAAGAGAAGGAGGAGATAGTAAATGTGTTCTTTCCACACTTTTTATTTAAACTTCTTGTCAAAATTCTACACAGTGAATAAAAACTGAGAGTTAAACTTCTAACAAATCCTTCAATACATAAACAAATTAAAGGTCAAACTGAGGTTAGCTTCTTCAAAAATAGAAATGGTATCAATCACCCTTTCCACATGAGCAAATCTATAATGATTAGTTAGCCACATAAAAAATATTCAAAAATATTTTCCCTTGTGAATTGTTTTTGTGCTGCAAGTAATAGAGCAAATCCCATGATGTACTGGAAAAAGGTAAATCAACAGTGATGGGTAAAGGGAATCATTCAATCAAAGGTCAACAAGGGAAGAAAATGGTAGGAATCCGAGGGAGGATGAGAAGAGATAAAGGCAAAGCAGCTATACCACATCCCGGTTCAGATGTGGAGGAGATGGGACCAGAAATTTTTGCTGGTGAAGAAGCCATAATAGTGTGTAATAATCTCCAGCTGTTAAAATAAAAGGCATATTCTGGGATACATTAATAGAAGGAAAGGCCTCCAGACCTTTCATGGAGAGCTCAGACAAATGTGATGATCAGTTAAAAGCTGGGGAGAGGGCACAAACAAAAAAGATTATTTTAACATCTGCTCTGTGTGAAGCGTAGTTTTTTGCAACAATAGGCTGGGCCCATCAGAACACCACATGTTCACCCCAAAAGAAATTACCTATTGGAGATGCAAAAGATGTCTTGATGTTGATAACAATGTATAAAGTTTTATGTTTTTAAAATTTGGAAACTTAATAAAATTTATTTTAAAAAAAATTATCCTTAAATATCATCCCACTAGTTGTGATAGAAGTTATTTACACCAAATGGATATATTTACACTGAGAATATCCCTCTTCTTGGATGTTCTCCAGATGGCAGAGAATTTTTGGTATCTCCAGATGGCAGAGAATTTTTGATATGGGCAACAGTTAACTCCATCAAGATCCCTTTGGCATTCTAAAATAGTATAATCAAGACAAGCACTTCTCAACTTTTCCTGGCTTAAATCCTACCATGCTATCAAAAAAACTGACTCCTACCACAATAGAAACAAAAGCCCACTTTTTGTACAAAGAGTAAATATGTGTTCATATGTATTTAATTATTATGGTTGGTAACAATCAGCCAAATATTTAGATTGGATTTGGCATGCCAAATAAGTGCTTCCCAAGAAATTGGGATATGCAGATGTTGTTTAATAATTATATAATTTAAAGATTAATTCAAGTTTTAGTGACATCTTCTGTGTTCCATGTAGATTCAGTCTCACATTTGGTTAGCATACCAACAATTGAGAACCAACCTTGACCCAATATTCAATATTCAACATAGTCAGATCCTGAATCTCCCCAGGTGAAAGTTGTTGAATTTTTATCCATTTATTTCAATGTTTTTTTAATTTTTTCAGTATATTATTACAAATTTTAATGTATAGCTAATTAAGCTATGCTATTACACGCTCTGTATTTTGCTTTGAGTGCAAAATATTAAGTTACAGTTTTTGGAAAATGATTTATTTACATCTTTATTAGTTCTATTTTAGAGTTGTTAGTCTTTGATCATGTAACCATCATAAGCCTGGGAACCAGTCATAAATTTACCTTTTCAATGTTGTTAGTTCAAATAGTCACTAAACAAGGCAGGGTTGGGCTGTAACCAAAGACTACTCTTGCCAAAATAATAATGGTTCAGTAAGACCTGCCATTTACTGTCTTAGACTACAAGGAGATACAACTGAAGATTCATGATATGTATGATCACACACCAGGATTTATAAAGAATCAGAGTTCAAAGAGAGTATCAAATCCAAGATACATCCAGGATTTTTCAGTCTAATCAGATATGACAAACAGCCAGTAAAACTATGCCATTACTGCAAACCAATTGAGTTATGGAAAAAGAAGGAAAACCCCAAATGCCATTTGATATATTCAAGAGTAGAGTGATTCTCCATGAAGTATAAAAGAAAGTTCTCATCTAGATGAAAGGACTCATATTTTAAGCACTTTCTGAAGCCTTGACAATCAATCTGTTGGGGATCATTTTTCTACAAACAATCCTTATAAAACTCATACATAAGATGGAGTATCTTAACTGAGGCAATAATTATGATCAACAGCAGGGGTGTCAAACTCACGTCGTCACGGCAGCATCACGTGACATATTGGGACTTTTTTCCCCTTCGCTAAACCAGGCGTGGGTTTAGCATGTGACACATCTGGGCCATGGACTGGAAGTTTGACAGCTCTGATCTACAGGATGGAAGTGAGATTAGGATTCCAAATCACATGCCAAATTATTCTCCAATCAACCTACCTTGCATTGGAGCAAAGGAAATCATCACCCCTCTGATCCCAACTTATGATTTACAATATGTGCAGTGGAATGAATCAAGGTATAAAGCCTGTTGATTCCATGTGCAAGACTGATTTGATTCAAGCTCTTCCTCCTAAATCAAAGTAATGCTAAAGTAACCCTATAAGAAAAACTGGAAAGTAGCTCTATAAGAAAACAAAGTTAAGCTATTTCAGAGAAGCTGAAATATCAAAGAGCACTGGTGTTTTGAAAAAGGACACATTATACTATGGAAATACACCTTTATTTGTCTTATTTACATACAGATTACTAAGCAGTTTTGGCTTGGTTCAAAATCTGCCTGCAGGAATACCATGAAGGACCCCAAGAATGGAATGTTAATGCAAAGTTGTCTGAAATATTTCAGTGGGGAGTTGGCTAAAGAAACATGTCTTCACTAGGCTTCATAGATTTATTGCTTACATTTTTTTTGTATCTGTCCAAAGATGAGCTTTCTTTTTTCTTTTCATAAACACAAACAATGGCACCTGGTGTTCAGCCAGTTACAAAATTATACCTATTGAAGTCTAAGCTTTGTAAGTAGGAGTTGGCCCAATACACTCATAGAAGAAACTGTGATCCAAAAGAAAATCACATTTGAGAAAAGGGAAAGGTGACTTTTGCTAGTTTTCCCTCTACCGTTTTCTTGTACCACCTTATCCATTTTTACAGTGGGTTCCTACAGCCTCCAGAATATTTGTGTCTCCCAATGGAAAGAGCCAGCCAAAATAATTTCCCCGTCTCATTTATTCCTAAGGAATGCTCCAGAAGCAGACTTCCAGTCATAGACCTCAAAAATCAACTATAAAAAATCCCAAACATAGGGTAGGAAAAATATTTGCTCTCTTGCAACAAAGCAACCTTTGCAGTCTTACTAATTGAAAACAGTATGCCTGTAGCTCCATTAGGCAACTGTATAAAGGCCACCTCCTTTCTTTTCAATGCCACAGTGCAATTTCTGGAGAAGGGTTCTAAATATAAGTTCTGACCCAAGAAATATCTATGCTATCAGTGTATTTAAAACATAATATTTTTGTGATGACCCTTGAAGATTCCTTCTGGCTATTATATATTATATAATATAGTGGCCATTAAAAAAAATCTTATCAGGTTTGCATAGACAAAGTGGAACATAGCATGCTGGCTGAAGAATTCTAGCAGTTGAATTCCAAACATAAAGTTGCTGAGCTTGAAAAACACCAGACAAGATCTTCAAAAAGCTGTTGCTTTTAAGATGTTCCAGGTTTAGAACTTGTTTTCAAAGGAAGTCCCTTCAATCAAGACAGTAGGCTTCAAGGTAGTCTGGCACTCCAAACCATTGGTAGGTGATTATCAAAAGTAATAGCCTGAAAGTACTGTTTTCCATGATCATTGATCCAGGTTG